CGCCTCGAAGGGTGCGTGGCCGCACAGCATCTCGTACAGCAGCACGCCCATGGCCCACCAGTCTACGTCAGGGCCATACAGCATCTCCTGCAGGATCTGAAGAAGGGATGGGAAAGAAATATCAACCCTGAAGCTTCTTAAACTGAGCAGGGGAGGAAAAAAGATTTGGAAACATTAATGCAAAAGTTCTTGCTACATCCTAACAGCGCTCTCTGCTAGGCTGGCTGTATGTCCAGGAACATATAGGTGATCTCAAGCTGGAAACCCCCAGATCAGCACAAAGGTACATCAGATGCATTAAACAAGGGCTGAACTAGCTTGGCTGCTCACAGGGTCACCTGGGAAACAAGCCCTTAGAAATGATGCTAGGGCTTAGCAGGAGGAGAAGGGGCATTTCAGCAAAACTGGCTGAGCCTCTGAAGCAGCAGAGCAGCCACGTGTGCGGGTCGACATCGCCTCTTCCTTGCCTCTGGGAAGGAAATGCTTACCCGGCTCCAGCGGCAAGGCTTTCAGCTGGAGAGGGGAAGGAGCGCGAGTGTGTGCGAAAGGCACAAACACCAACCACAGACAAAAATTCAGTTCTGTTGAAGAGGGATCTGAAACCCTGTCAGAACATCTGGCAGCATCTGGAGGGCAGCTGTTCCTTAAAAGAGGTGTTTGTTAATTTTGTAGTGAGACTGGGGAATGACAGGGAACAGGAGGAGGTAGAAAAAGGAACTGGGAAATGAGGGAGAATTCAATCTCCTTTCAAATCAAACTGGGCCAGTATCTGTATGTGCCTCTCAAGATTTTTGCAGCTGTGCCTCCATTCTTCACCTCATGTTTCCTAAAGAAAAATATAGGCTTATCTTGGTGCCTATAGCAGCCTGAAGGTTTACTCATGCTTTTCTTGCACAAGGGACTGATAATACAAGCATACATCTAGGAGGAAATACCTTGCACCCAGCAGTCAAATAAGGTGTAGCTAAAGACACCAGAGAGTACACTTGCTGTTCTAAAGCTAACCTATGCTTCTCATATTGTGACCAAGTTTTCCTGGCCAAAGAAAGGTTTCCTGTACCTCCGGAGCGATGTAGTCTGGTGTACCACAGAAGGTGGCTGTGGTAATGCCATTGTGAATGCCCTCTTTGCACATCCCAAAGTCTGCCAGCTTGCAGTGACCCTCGTAGTCCAGCAGCACGTTGTCCAGCTTCAAGTCCCTGCAACGAGAATTGTTCACCGAGTTGCTACGTGCTTGGAGCAGCCCCAGCACAAATGGAGGCAGCGTCCCAGGCCTCAGAAGCTTAACCCGTAAACTGAACAAGCCTCATCATCATAAAAAAATAAACAGAAGTCATGCAGGAGGGTTTTTCTTTTGCTTCATCTCTTACAGAAGGGAGGGAGGAACAAACATCATTCTTCCGAACTGCATTTAATATGGGCAGGTGCTATACGAGTTCACCCACATGGCTTTCCAAACACACCACAAGCCTGGCTGGCAGAGCTCCCGCTCATTTAGCTCTAGGACTCACTGGAGCAGAGGTTGCCAGAGCTGTCAAATTGCGTAACGATGTTATGATGCAGCAAAATGCACCGCATGGGACATGCTCTGATTCAGCAAAGCGCTGCGCTGGGAGCACACAGCTGAAGCCAGGGAGGTGTGCAAGACCTCTTCAGAGGGGCAGCAGATCCCCTTTTCTCCTGAGGTGTGAGGGGTTAAGTCCCAGGCTTTGCTGTATTGTGGCAAGCCTGACTGATAAACCCCACCTGGAGCGTTATCCAAGTTGAGAAGAAAAGAAACTCCCTGCCGACACCACGCCACATGAGCAGGGGGAACCTTCGGCCAGCATGGGATGCCTCCATCATAAGGCAAAGTCTTCAAGTCCTCCCAGATGTATCGATTCCAGCAGGACTGCGCTAATGTAAGAAGTGAATGTCCCCCCTAGTGCTCATTGGGGTGGGGACCTCCTTGTCACTGTCACAAGAGACCTGCAGCCAAACAAGCTGCAGAAAGGCTCATTTTCCCAATACGTCACCTCTAACAGCCTGGGAGCTCCTCATCAAAAGCAGAGCTGCCAAAACAACAGAGCCCTAACAAAGCTTATCAGCTTGCCTGACCTTGAGATTGTCTGAGGGAATAGCCCGCAGGCAGAAGCACTGTCAGGAACATGACCAGAAAGCACGGGGTCATCTGCAGACTTAGGCAATGCTTTCCTAAAAATACATACCAGCTCGTAGCACCTCTGTTTTTCAGCTGCCAAACAAGCTCTAGGCACCGTCACAGATGGAGGAAAGGAGCTATGATGGGAGCTCTGTGCAGTACGAGTAGGTCACAGTTAATTTTTTGAACTGTCTCAGGTACTGGCCCAAGAGTTGCACGGAGCCCTCACAGCAGCTCTGAGGCAGGGAAGTGTTACCATTGCCATTTTACTGAGATGGAGGATGCCTTATTGGCCTAGACAAAGCCACTTTCAAAGTCATTCAGATGCCCAGATAAGGATCAAATAACTAAATACACTTGAGGGTCTCAGGGCCCCTTCATTAAATCCATGCTGGAACTTGATCTATTTTGCCCTCTGGTTGGACATCTGTTTCCCTGGGAAGGGGGAACAGTGGGGAGGATGGCAACATAGATGGTGGCATCTCCATATCAATATGAAAACCTATGGGTGAGCTGAAATCTGAATCCAGCTTGATCCTGTTCATCCTCTGTCTATGATCTTAAAGTGAAAATCAGGTGGTCAATCGCTCTGTTGTGCACTGGCATTTCTACAGCCCAGACCACCACTGGAAGCTTCTCTGGAGCTTGAGACAGCTCTCCCTCAACTTCAGTGTTGCAGTGGAAAGATCAATGACACGTTGTGCTAGACAATCAGAACCACCTCCTGTCCTAAAGAGGTAAGAAAAAGTATTATTAGCCTCTTTTGAACAGATGAGAAAGCAAGGAATAGAGGGTAAGAAATTTTCCCGTGTCCCCCAGAGCCAAGACTGAACATTCCCTTCCTGAATTCCAGCTCCAAATCTTAATCGCAAGATCATACATCCTCTCTCTTCAACTTTAACATGGCATGGCAACACAAGTCAGTAAAAAGCCCTCTGCAACAATGCTGCCCTTCCCAGCAGGTCCACCAGCTATCTGGTGGCCAGTGAAATTTGCATGCCGAGGACAGTGCCCACGCCTGTCTTACGCTGCAGTGTTTGCTCTGGGTGGGATGCTCAGCAGAAGACACTTATTTTTCCCCTTCTGAGAATCAAAAACGGCTGCTAAGGCATGTGGGCAAAGACTCGTCCTGGAAAGGCTTTAGGCGAGCACAGTGAGAGGTATTGTACGTGCTCGCCCATGACAGTACGCCTTCAGCAGCAGTTTACAGCCAAAGCTCCTGTTGCTCTTCCCTGTGGTTCCTGGCAGAACAGGGAAGCCCTCCAAGCATGAAGGCAGGCCTTGTTTCCAGGAATCTGCAATGATGTGGTTGAAATGCGCAGTTTATTCTTGGCTCGGCTTTAAATGCAGCAAACACCTTTTCGGTCCTGGGCAGGCCTGACTGTTGGGGGGTGCCCGTAAAGGTGGAACTGGAAGGGGAATTTTGGTGAACCTGCTTGGAGATCCCCATTCCAAACCTCCCCTCGCTCCCCAAAACATCCGCCACATCCTGCCATGCTTTGGGAATACCTCAAAATACACCTTCCTTATATCCGAGCCAGCAGAAACAAAGTCACGTACATTGACTGAGCCAGCAGGTTACAGTCCTTCATGGAGAGCCTGAAGAGCAGAGGCAAGGCACAGCTATGAGGCAGGGCCAGCTCTGCAGACCAGATCACCAGCCACTCTGCCGCTTCTCAGCCTCTGCCCCACAGGACATGCTGCAGAAAGCCCGAAATCCCCGACAGCTGTATAATGCATGATGCTCATCATCAAGATGGCAGGAGCTTCTGCAGGTGCAAGAGCACTCTGTGCTTGCTGCGTCCTCCTAGAGAGCCTCTATATATGTAAGAGCCATTAAATTTAAACTGTCTGCCTCTCGCTGAGCGAGTATTTTTAACTACCCAAGGCAAACCTCCAGCCCTTTGGCTTCTCTACGTTGCACATTAAACCCATTAAGAGCGCCTGTTGTCTCCTTCTGCAGTTGGGATACCGGCTTCTCCTAACTTCTTTCCAGCAATGTGAAATCCAAAACGTACATTTTCTATTTTCACATAACCTGTAACGTGACATTAATCTGCTCTCACTTGCTCAGGCGTTCTGGCTATGTGCAGATCATTTTAGAAGAGGACCTCCCATGACCAAACAAGACTTCTCAATGCTTTTCACTTGGCAAGGCCACAGAAGATGGCCCCACACGTTCCCCTTGGAGCACGTCTCGTGGGCCAGCACAGCAGCAGGCTCAGCCACGTGGCTCTTCTCCGGCAGCCCCAAAGGATAATTTTCTGGGAAATTCATGGTTTGGTCTTGTGTTTGAGCATTTGTCTCAAGCAATCCCGTAATAAGCTCTGTACTTGCTGCTCGATGTTGACAGGTCTCCCCACGTGCCATACCCCATGAACCAGCACAGCCACATGAGAGGAAAAACACTGACAGGTTTCCGAGATTTACAAGGAGCTCTTCATTTTTGCAGCAAGGATTCTGGGAAGCTGATGAAACTGGAAGTCATCCAGCTCAGAAAGGCCAAATCTACCTCATTTCCTTAATACTTGCATTTTCCATTCAGTATTTTTAGCAGTTCGATGAAGCAATAACGGCAGAGAGGTTTTCTGAGGGCTGCATTTCTAAGGTCCTGCTGAGGTTCTGCCTTTCACTGGCAAACCTCCACTGGAAAACAGGCTTCATCCCTACTCAGAAAGGCAGCCTTTGTCCTCGCAGGCAGCTACAGCACAGCGGCTTAACAGCCTCCGTTTAGTCTAGACCCAGAAGAAATGACAAAATGAGCTGCTTCAGCGCAACTCGCTGGAAGAGGTGTTCTTTATACATCTGCCGCTTGAGTTTAACATTTGTAAAAAAACCAAAATTACAGTTGCAGATGATCCGGTCCTTTTCTGAAGCATCTGTGAAATGCGATTTCCCTGCACCAGGGAGTTTCGCCAGTGAATAGCTGTTATACACATACCTGCCACTTGCTCTACGTCATCTCACTCGTGATGTAGAATCTATATTTGAAAGGATGATGTTTGGGGTTTTTTTTTCCTCTTTGGTTTCACCATGCTGTGTTGTAAGGGCTGTGCATGTAGTAAGGATCTTCTTTGCAGGAGTAGCGGTGGCAGAAACTAGCTTCCGGTTTCAATGCCTCGGTTTGAGGTTCTCCCAGGTTTGGTAGTTCCAAAGGTCCGGTTTAAAGCTCATAAAAGCCTGCTGTTCCCATCTCGACGCAAATCATTTAGTCATGAAAGATATAGGTACAGAGCAGTGGGAGCTAGCCACAAACATAGGTGTGACTAGTGTAATACTCCAGCCAAATATAAAAAAAAAAAAATATATATATATACACACAATTAAAAACAAAATCCCCAAACCTGGAATTAGCTAAATTAATAATTTTGGCATTTCTGAAAGGGAAAATTTTGCTTTTTCAAGTCTTCAGCACGCAAGGCCTCTGGAAACACCTTTGGGGTGAGCAAATGTGCATTCAAATCCCCTTTGCAAGCAGGGAGTAGATTTTGATTTTTCTCCACCTCTTCTGCTGAAGTCATTTTACCTTATAGAAATACTGAAATCTCCATCACGGTGGAGAAAAATGTGTTTCTATTGCCTGGTCTGGTAGCCAAAGCAATATATGTTTCCAACTCCTGCTCCAGTGAAACTGTAACTATTTTTTGTAAAATGAAGCAACTTCAACAGAGGAGAAGGAAAGACATACAACCTGCGGAATAGCACAGTTGGTAAGATAATTATTGAAGAGAGAGGATTCTTCAAGGTGGAGGCCTTGCTCCAAATACAGGGGACAACAGATTTAAACCAATATTTTTATTAAATAAGGAGGAGAACAGATGGAGGTCTCAGTTTTATGTAAAGCCCTAAATACTCATGGGACGCTAATATCGTTTCCCATTTTCCTTTGCATTCATTAATAACACCCAAACCAAAGTATTTTGTTTTACTTGAAACCAACACTCTCTTGAGTTGCAAAAAAGTTGCAAACTCAGTTTGCAATACAACTGCAAAAATACAGTTGCTTTAACAAAGCCCTAACAATTATTTTGGGCCCACAAAATCTGAAACAATTTTCTA